CACCTGAAGCCAGACCCTATCCCTGCTCTGGCCCTGCTTGTCCCACACCCCGACGTCTAGACATACAGGCAAGTCCTCAACATTCAAATTCAAGTTAGGAAGAACCCCGCTTTTGGTTCATCTTATCCTTAGATAAGATACAATGTGGCAACATGTAACTTGTGGGCGTCACCATTCTCAGTTCACTCACAGATGTTCAAAGATCAGATTCATGAAAACACTGGTAATAAAAGGCCGTAATCATGAAAACTGAAAAGAAAGAACTATTGGCCTTACATCAGAACCACTTACGATGGAGTTGTCAGAACAGAGTCCCGTCAGGCTTTGGGGAGTGAGGGAGCCCAACACCACTGAGTGACAATGGTGGGGAGACCCCTTTGCAGCACCAAAGGCCCCCTCTCTGCCCTGGGGCCATGATCCCAAGCTGGTCCCCACGGTGCTGCAGAGGGAGGGCCTCCCAGCGGGCTGCCACACACTCACCCTCCTCCTCGCGGGCCGTGGGGTCCAGCTCCAGGTCTAGCGAGCGCAGGCTGGGCCGGGCACCGCGCCCCTCGGCACCGAGCAGGGGCCGCCGGCCACAGCGCCGCAGCTGCATTGTGCGGTTGTAGTACTGGGAGATGATGGCGCCGCGGCTGCGGCCTGCAGGGACCAAGGTCAGGGCAGCTGCCCAACGCTCCTCGCTCCTCATCACAGAGCAAGGGCCGCTCCTCCCCCCTCCCCGGTCCGGCTTACGGAGCCCTCAGGCTCTCCACGTTCTCAAGGGCCTATTTTTACCCTGTGACTCTGGGAGCTGGTTTTAGAACTTGAGGGGGCCTGCTGGGCTGGAGGGGTGGGGTGTAGCTCTGAGCTCACAGACGCCCGGCTGGGATCTGTGACCGGCACGGCTCGGGCCAGGGGTCCACTCACCGATGGTGCGACTGGGCATACTCGCCAGGATGCGGAGCGTGGCCGCACTGTACGCAGGGGCGCCCTCAGGCCCGGGGCCGGCCTGATGGTCACCATCTACCACAGTAAGAAGGGCTGCTGGTCCAGGAGTCCTGGCGACCTGGCCACCGCACTCGCGGCCTTCAGCCAGCAGGCTGCTGGCAGGCCTCAGCCCAGTCCCACACCCATCCCACTCCGTTCTCGCTCACCTGAGGTCCCTGGGGTTCCAGTGCCTGGTTCCCTCTCCTGCAGCTGCAGCCCGGCCTCCGACCCTGAGGCCCCCACCCACTGGCTCTGCTCCTGAATGAGCTGGTGGAAGGAGTGGTGGACTTCATCCTCATCATAAGGACTGGGCTCCTGACTGCCATGGCAGGAGTGGGACGGGGTTCAGGGGAACTGTCCTGGCCTGGCCCCAGACAGCCTCCCTGGAGGGACCCATCCCAGGAGAGGACAGTGGGGAAGGGACTCCCAGCCCTCCAGCTCTTACCTCCAGTCATCTGGGGTCTCAGGGACATTGAGGACAAAGGCCATGCCTCTGCCCCACACCCGGCTGTCTGGAGACCTAGGGCAGCTCAGAGCCTGGGCGTGGCCTCCCGCTGTCCATCTGGGGAGAGAGGGAGTGTTTCCAAGCTGGCCTCAGTGCCTGGCACACGCCCAGCCCAGACCGCAGCCGCTCCCTTGGATCCAGGGAGTGGCCTCCCAGCCGCCCCGAGCCCCCCATCCACAGCCCCATATAAGCCCCACCCTCATGCCAGAGTGGCTTTGTTGTACCAAGGGGGAGCCCCCTCCCTGCTGGGAAGGAAGGGTGTGGGGTCAGGCAGTTCCCCCACTGTTTCCTCAATGTTGATGTTGCCAGTCACTGGGAAAAGGGGAAGGGGGTGGGGCATGTGGCTTCCAGGGCCGCCCCAGGGCCGCCGCCCTCGTGGAGAGAAAGGGCAGGAGACGAGCAGGGCAGTTCAGAGGTCCCCCCCACTAGCGCCACCCAGCTGCACTTCCTCTCACAGGCGCCATCACCCCCAGAAGCCCCCAGGCCCAGGGGCAGACCCTCCTGCCGTCCCCACCTAGCCCAGGCTCAGGGTCAACCCCCACCGTGCGGGACACACACACACACACACACACACACACACAAACGGCAGTCAGTATCAGCCTCCTCTGCCAGTTCATCTGTTCCCAGATCACGCCTGACATTCCACCAAGTGAGGGCAGTGGGGGGGGGGGGGGGGCGGGGAGTGAGCATTAAACAGGCTGGCTTTGTCCCCGCCAGTCACGGCGGGTCCCTCGAGAGCTCGGTGACACAGTGCCCAGTCAGTGCCCTCACTGGGGGATCCAGTCTCTATGCCCAGGCTCCACAATAAGGGCCCCTCCCGTCTCCTCCGGGACCAGCAGGGGCATGATATGGGGCAACCAGGGGAAAAGAGTCAGAGGTGAACAGTCTGACCTCAAGGAGAGAAAGTGTGCGGGGGAGTGTCTGACTGGCTCCCAGGAGGAAGTTGTGACAGGCCTGGAGGCTCACCTGGGCACACCCAGAACTGCAGCGACACCCATCCCTCAGGCGGGGCTAGTCCAGCCAGAAGCCTGAGCTCATCACTCCCCAGCCCTTAGCCAGGTGGGAAGGGGAAGGGGGGGCCCATTGCCTGGAACCCCCACCCCAGCTGGTGGCAAGGCCTCCCGAGAAGCGGTCGCCTGGCCCACGGGACAGCAAACTTGAAGGCTCCTGGACCCCCCCACCCCGCCACCCCCGTGGTCCCCGCCACCCCGGTGGTCCCCGCCATCCCAGCACACACCACTGCCCCCTCCCCCAGGGCCCTGAGGTTGGACTGGGGGTGCTGTGCGGGAGGGGGCTGCAGTTCCCCATCTTGCTTCTGTCCCCCCAGCTCTGGTCAAAGGACTCTGCAGCTTCCGGGCAGGGTGGAGACCCAGGAAACCTGCAGGGCGTTCGGCTGCCATCAGGCGGCGCCAGAGGCAGAACTGGGAGGAGGTGGGGCCGCCAGCAGCTGCGGCTGGGAGGGTGGGAGCAGGGCAGAAGGACTTGGTGGCCGACCGCTAGTCCTGGGGCCGCAGCCCCACTGGATCCCGGCGCCCGCTCCCGGACCACTTACCTGGGGGCGGCTCACCTGTCCCCCGCAATGGCCACCGGGAGCTGTGGCCTGGGCTGCACCGTCGGGGGTGGGACTGTGGGCCCGGTGGGAAGTGGCGGGCAGGGAACCACCTGAGACCCGGGCAGGCCTGGCGGGGAAGGATGGAGCCCGGGTCCGCGGCCCGGCCCACGTGGTGACGGGCCTGGGCCGTCACGTGACTCGGGCTCCAGCCTGGGCGCACCCCGCCCCTCGGCCGCCTCCGCCAGCTCCTCCCTCCTCGCACCCTACGGGTGGGGGGGGGCGGGCCGGGGAAGCTCACCTGGGCACACCCAGGTATGAGCGGGCTGAGGGCGGCTAGGTGTCTGGGTCTATTCCAGTGCCCCCTTGGGGGGGGGTCCCCAACTCCTGAGGGGTTTGTAGTCCCCAAGTTTCAAATAAGGACAATAATTCCAGACCTACACACTTCCCAGGGGGTTGCCAAGCTAAGCCATGCTGAAAACCCTGTGTCCCCAGGGCCGCAGGGGGTGACCGCCTTCCTGGCACCTCACCCACCCACAGCACGCCCGCACCAGCTGGCGGGAAATGTTCCTCACTCCCTCCCCCCATGGGGCGTGGTTACTGCTGTTCATCTGGCAAGTGCTCTGTGGCTTCCTGTGTGCTGGGTGGGACAAGGGTGCAAAAGGGGCCATTGCGTGAGTGTCCTCAGCACGGGGAAGGGGCACCGACGGGGGCTGAGGAGCCAGCTGCCTGGCAGGAACCTAGGCCCCCCAGAGCCCTGCTCAGGGTCTTGACTTTGGGAAAGCCCCCTAAGAAGCCCTGAGGAGAGGTCCTGGGACCCAAGCTTGGACAAAGAGGGTGGGGCTGTGGGCATGGCTCTTTTGCAGCTGTTAGTAGGGTTGGCTGGGGGGGGGGTTGACTGGCAGGGGTTTGGCTGGGGGGATGCTCAGGCTGGTTCTGTCAGGAGGGCCTGGTTGCCCTGCAGGGAGGCCCCGCCCAGCCCATCCAGCCCCAATCTCCACTCACCACTTCCCCCTCCTTTCACACCCCAACAACCACTCCTGAGCCACCTCCTCTGTGAAGCCCTCCCAGATTGTTCCCGGCCCAGCTAGTGCACTTGACAGCACCCCACACACACAACCCACTGTGTGTGACCACTGTGGGCCTGGCACAGAGCAGGAGCTCCAGAACCCGGGACAGGGAGATGGGCAGGGAGGCAGGGAAGCCTCTGGAGTGTGTGGCCTTGAGCTGAGGGCCCTAAAGGAAGGGGGCGAGGGAGCAGGGAGGAAGGACAGGGCTGTAGGCTGGGTCCACAGGGAGAGAGACGGCCAAGATGGCTTAGTCTCTAGCCTGGATGAAGGGAACCGACATGACAGAGGTTGGAGATTGAGAAACGTGGCCAAGAGCCTCTGCTGTGGGGCCCAGAACTGTCGCTATCACCCAAGGCCATCCTACTGAGCCACCTGCATCAAACAGATAAAGGGCCAGTCCCTGCATCCCTGCACCGGCCAGTAGCGCTGCCCCGTCAGGGTCCTAGAGTTAGCCTCTCTCCCTGGTCAGGCCCCCTCCCCAGGCCAGGCCCTGTCCCTGCCATCAGAACCCCCTCTCCGGGGTCAGGTCCTGGCTCCCAGCCGGAAGGGGGTGGGCCAAGTAGCAAGTGCGGACACAACCCCCACTGGAGCTCAGAGCGCCCCCACAGTGCACAGCTGCCCAAGGGCACGTCTTCCAGCCCACAGCCCCAGACCAACACCGGTGTAGCCCACCGGGCCAACCAGCGCCGAGGGGTTTGAGCACCGAAGCCGACCGCCACCAGCTCTCACCTGCCCTTGGCACCCGCGCCCCGAGAGCCTCAGGAAGCACTGGCAGGGCCTCCGTTTGGAGGAAACTGGGGTTCCTGTCATGTGACACCCCTCCCCACGGACTCCGCTGAGGCCCTGCCCTTGGTGGCAGGAACGGGTCCCAGGAAGGGGCCCCTCAAGGACTTGGTCCCGTGGTGCAGGTGAGCTGGGTGCAGAGTGGAAGATGAAAAAGGAGAAGGAAGCGGAAGGGGCCCGAGGGCGGCGGGCTGCTGGGGAGGCTTCTCTGAACCCCTTCCTGCAGCAGAGGCGACACTTCGTCTGGGCCCCACTGGGGCCCGGGGCTGATGGTGGCTTGCGGGCCTGCACAGCAGGGGGACGACAGGACACCTCAGGCCACACGCCCCAGGGTCCCTGGGGTTTGAGACAGGGTTGTCCGTGAACACACGGAGGCCAGTGGCAATCTCTGTCCTAAGGGTGGCCTGGGAGACCTGCCGCCACAGGTAGCTGGGGGGCGAGCAACAGGCCTTGAACCCACCCTCCTAGTCCGGCCAACGCCTGTGCCGCCCCATCTCTCTCCGCCTATTGGGCCTTTCTCCCCATTTCACAGATGAGGAAAACTGAGGCTGCGTGTGATCCTTTGAAAGGTGAAGTGCACTCAACGAGATTCTTTCTCTTCATTTCCGGTCATGCCAGGGCCGCGACCTGGAGGCTCTCCCACCTGAAGCCCCTCCCACAGGGCAGAGGCTCAGCCGCGGGGTTCAGATGCCGCGGCCCCCCGGGAAGCCAGAGCCGGGGGACCCCGGGGCCGAGGAGCCGGGGGAACAGGAGATGGAGCGGCTCTGCGCTTCCCGGGCGCCCGTGCGCGCGCTGCCCTACGCCATGGTGGACAAGCGCGTGATCCGGTGCGCGCTTCGGGGCTGAGGACGGGACGCACCTGGGCGGTGGGGGCACGGGCGTGGGCGGGCACGGGGTGGGGTGCCTCACGACGCCCCATCATCTCCGCTACCGCAGGCAGCTGCGGGAGCCCGAGGGGGTGCAGCCCTCGTGCTGGGACCGATGGCAGCGCCGGCGACAGACCGCGGGACGGCGCCTCGGGGAGGCAGCGCGGCGGCTGGCCCGCGGCTTCGGCCTCTGGGAGGGGGCTCTCAGCGAGATCGCGGGTAAGACCCGTCCGCGGGGCCCGCGTCCCCTCTCCGGAGCCCGCACGTCCAGCTGCGCGCCAGGAGGGCACCACCCCGCCCGTGGCCGCCTGTGCCCTCCCTCCCACCGCCGCGCACCCACCCCACCCCCGCCAGCCAGGCCTGCAAACCTGGGTGAGACAGCTCCCCTGGCGGCTGTCAGCGGTCCCGCTGCGGAGGGCACCTGGCCGAGACCACCGCAGCCTCCTCCAGCCTCCTGAGGCAGGTCGCCTGCCCGCCCCGTTGGGCTGCTCAGCCCAGGCCCTGGCTCCACCCTCCGCAGGCCTCTTTGGGACCGGAATCCAGTCCTACTTTACTTTCCTACGCTTCCTGCTGCTGCTCAACTTACTGACCTTCCTTCTGACCGCTGGGCTCGTGCTCCTGCCCCTGGTCTGGCTCCGCTCCCCCCACCCAGCGCCTGCCCTGAACCTGAGTGAGTGCCTGGCCTGAGACTCACAGGTACCCCCAGAGACGGAGAGTTCCCTGGGGCCCACCCGCACCATTGGGGCTGCCCCAGGGCTCAGAGCCGGGGCCGCGCGGATCGGTGTCCCCACTGCAGGAATCGCTCAGCCCTGGGACTCTCTGGGCCCTGCCCTGTACACAGCCTCAGGGCCCCTGCTCAGGCCTCCTGGGGCTGGGGGGCTATGGAGTTGGCAGGGGCATAGCCTCATCTATGCCTTGGGGACCCCTCTCTACGGCCCCCTCTCCCTCCTTGACAGCCCTCCAATGCCACGGTAGCTACCAACCCCAGACTGGCCTTCAGAAGTTCCACAATCAGCTATGGAATGTCTTAACCGGCAGGGTGAGTGGGATCCCTCCAGGGAGGCTGGGAGACCAGGGGACTGGCCACAGGGGGCCCAGACAAGAAATGCCCCCTCAAGAGGCACACACCCCTCAATCAACCACATGCGACAAAAAGGGCAATGTTCATCCAGGGAGAAAGCTCGGAAGGCAGGAAGAGGTAGGACAGAGGAGAAATGGAAATGGTTTAGAGGGGCAGGAAGTGGGAGGAGAGCAGGCCCACTCTGTGGCCAGGCCTGCCATCCTGGCATCAGAATTTGCCTGTGAAAAGGAATGATACACCCCACCCCTGCAGGGTATCTCCGCATCAGCTCTGGCAGCCACACGAGGGGATCAGAGAGAGGTGGGGCACTAGGCGTGGCTCGCGCCATGGGCAGATGGACCGTGTCCAGTGGCTGACAAAGCCCCGGTGGGGTAGGAGCCACAGGGGACAAGAGAGAGTGTCCTGTCAGCTCTTATCTCTGGAATAAGCCCGGCCTCACCCTCATCCCTAGAAGCTGTAGAGTGGTCACCAGTAGGGGCTCCTGGGTTTGAATCCTGCCTCTCTTCCTCAAGGCTGTGTGACCCTAGGCAAGTTGCCGAACCTCTCTGAGTGTCTGTCAAAGGGGTTACACTCCCTGCCCACCTGATGGTTTATGGTGAGAGCTATGAGTTAATACCCAGAAAGTGCTTAAAACGGATGCACGTTCCTCATGTCCCATTGTCACCTGATGTCCCCAGGCCTTCAACCACACCTATCTCTTCTATGGTGCATACCGGGCCGGGCCTGAGAGCAGCTCGGTGTACAGCATCCGCCTGGCCTACCTGCTCAGCCCACTGGCCTGCCTTCTCCTCTGCTTCTGTGGGACGCTGCGGCGGTGAGAGTACCCCCTTTTCCAGGGAAAGGGGCCTTCCCTAGTCACCCCTTCTTCATAACGGCAGCCCCCCGTTGCCAAGAAGGCCTCTGTTCATCAGTAGCTCTTCGGTCTGAATTCCATGTCAGGAGCAGTGGCCACTGCCCTGTACCTCCAGCCCCCACCCAAGCCAAGGCCTGCATCTCAGGCCACCAGGGCACTTCCCACCCTAGATCCCAGAACCCAGGCTGGGGCTGGAGGATGGGGGTGCCCTCAGCAGGCCCTCCCCAGCCAGCCCCTGGCCTGTCCTCCCTGCAGGATGGTGAAGGGGCTGCCACAGAAGCCATTCCTGGGCCGGCACCACAGGATGCCACTTGGTGCCAAGGTCTTCTCCTCCTGGGACTTCTGCATCCGTGTGCGGGAGGCCGCAGCCCTCAAGAAGCGAGAGATCGCCAACGAGTTCAAGGTGTGTGTCAAGAAGAGGCTGAGTGTGAGCAGGGTGCATGACAGTGTGTGTGTATGTGTGTGACTGAGTGTGAGCAGGGGTGCATAAAAGTGTGCAACTGAGCAGGGAAGTGTAAGAGTGAGTGTGTATATAAGACTGAGTGTGAGAATGTAAGTGAGTGTGTGCATGACTGAGTGTTAGCGTGACTGAGTCAGTGTGAGAGTGAGTGTGACCGAGTTGCAGTGTGTGCGTGAATGAGTGAGGGTGCCTGTGTGAGAGAGTGTGACAATGTGTGGATAAGCATGTGTGTATGTTGAATGAGTGGAAGAGTGAATATGGGTGTGTAAGTGAGTGTGTGTGAATATGTGGATACATGAGTGTGTGTTCTGGTTACCTAGTGCCACTCTGACAAGAATATACCACAAATGGAATGGCTTTAACGAACAAGAGTTTATTCTTACAATTTGGAGGCTTTAACTCCAAGTTCAAAGTGCCAGGCTCTAGGGCTGGGTGAAAGCCCCTCAGCCTTGGCCTTCAGCTCTGCCTCCTACTCCCAGCCCACTGGAGCTAGAGGCTTCTCTTCACTCAGACAGCTGCTGGCTGCTGAGACTCACAAGCCCAAGGTGGGCAAACAAAATGGCACAGTCCCGATGTTACCAAACCACACGGCAGCCCATTGATTCAAGTCTATTGAAAGTCCCAGGATCAGCAGAGCATGGCAGGCTGCTGAACAACGACACAGCTACATGCAGGGTTCAAGCGTGGCATAAACTAGAGACCGTTCCCCAAGGCTTCTCCTTATATACAGGAAGCAGACCACATCCCAAAGGCAGCTACTCAGCTGCTCACAGTAGATTCCACCATGGAGTTGATGACCAGTCTCATCATGGGGGATACTATGTCCAGCTGCCCAGCCACTCAACCAGGCCCAGCCAAGTTGACACACAAACTTAACTACAACAGTGTGTATTGGGTAAGTCTATGAGTGTGTGAATGAGTGAGTGTGAATAAGTGCATGAATTGAGTATATGGGTGTGTGCATGAGTGAGTGTGTGTGAAAGTGAGCATGAATGAGGTGGTGTGAGAATGTGTATGAATAAGTGGAGTGTGTATATGTGAGTGTGTGTGGATAAAGAATGTGAGTGTGTGGATGCATGTGACAGGAAGTGTGTGAGTGTGGATAAGTGTGTACACTTGTGTACACAGTCACACACACTCACACTCATACATAGTCACACACTTGCAGCCACTCACCCACACACTCATATACACAGTCACACACTCACAGTCACTCATCCACACACTCATATAGGTCACACACATGGATACATACATACACACACATACATGGATGTGAGTGTATGAATGAATGCATGTGAGAGTAAGCGTGTGAGTGTGGATAAGAGTGTTACAGTGCAGGGCTACGTATACGAATTTATGGGAATATGTATGAGTGAGTGTATGTCACTATGTGTATACGTGTGTGTGAGTGAGTGAGTGTCTATGACTATATGTGGAGGGTGTATGGGTCAGCCTATGTCACTGTGTACATGTGTGTGTGCATGTGTGAACATGAATGAGTATGTGACTGTGTACATGACTGTACGAGTGTGAATGAGTTCATGTGAGAGTGTGTGGCCACACGTGTGAGTGTGTCAGTGAACACGGCTGAGTACACACATGGAATGTTACAGCGGTGGCAGGAAGTTCTCACCTGCACGGTTGTCAGGTGAGGGCTTTAGACAGCGAGGCTTGGCTGGTCCCTGCCCACTCATCCCCACCTTGTCCAGACCCTGACAGCGCATCTCCCGGGCCCACGGGCCAGGTCTGCCTGTGCTAGGCCCGCACCTGGCCAGCCCTCTGCACCCCTCCCAGATGGAGCTGGAGGAGCGGCGCCGCTTCCAGCAGGCGCGGCAGCAGACCCCGGCCCAGAGGGCCTGCCACCTGCTCGCCTACCTTCGCGTCAACCTTCTCATCGGGCTCCTGGTGGTCGGGGCCATCAGCGCCATCTTCTGGGCCACCAAGTACTCACAGGACAACAAGGAGGTGCAGGCCACTGACTTCATTTAAAGAAGCCACGCTGGGGGAAGCCGGGACCTTGAGGGTCCTGGTTTACAAAGCGAGGTTAAAGCAGGCTGCCCAAGGGCGCCACCAGGCCCTAGTGGTGCACTACCGCGCTGCCACTGGGAACAGGCCTCCAGGCTGCGGGGTCCAGGCCTGCCCAGCGTACACCCTGGATTGGGGGGATCATGGGATGCGAGAGCTGAGAGGAGCCCCACCACTTAGTCACACTCACTCACACTTGTACACTCACACACTCATTCACAGTCACACAGTCACACCCACAACTACTCATTCACACATTGTATCATTCACGTATCCACACATATACACACTCCCACTCACCCACACACTCGTACAGTCACACACAGTCCTCCATCTTCACCGTATCATATACTTAAGTCACAGACAGTTGCCCCTTTGTGTGTGTGTCTGTAATACTGTGTGCTCTGTTACCTTTCACTCTTACGCTCCTCTGTGTACATAGGATCACTCACTTATTCACACTCACACACTCATCTACATCATCACACACTCTCCCAATCACACATTCAGTCACTCATACGCACGGACACTCACGTGCACACACTCATACACACTCATCTCCAGTCACTCACACACCAACTTGCTCACAGTCATTAGCTCTCACTCATACTCACACTCACTTATTCACACTCATACTCACTTGTTCCCACTCATTCTCACACTCACAGTCACACACTCACTGTTCACACCCGGGCTCACCCTCAGTCACACACTCACTGTTCACACCCGGGCTCACCCTCAGTCACACGCTCACTGTTCACACCCGGGCTCACCCTCAGTCACACGCTCACTGTTCACACCCGGGCT